CCAAACAAACAAACAAACAAAAAAAAAAAAACCCAACCAAACAAACAAACAAACAGTATGAAAACATTAAGACCCCCACTCATAATTTCGGTGAACAAGTAAAAAAAGACGTAATGAGAAAAAGATTTTTATCTTTGGAGGAATCTTAAACATGAAAGAGTTTCATCTCAGGACCTCCAGCTTGATGTTCTGTGACCCACAGTGGGACCCCCGACCACAACTTGGAACCACAGCTCCATAACCCTTTGATCTACAGAGGAGTGGTCCGATCAACAAGGGGCTCAAACCATCAACGGTTCTACAGTTCTCAGGTTTTTCTACAGAAACCTGATTAAATTAAATTAAATTAAATTAAATTAAATTAAATGTACAAAATTGACTACCGGGGTTCGCTCGATGCTGACTCCACCGAGGCCAAAAATAATAAATAATAATATTAAATAAGAGGGAGATGGAACAGTGCTGAGGACTTGTTCCCGACGGTAGACCATGTTCTGGAACCTCTGGCCCCTAAAGAATAAATAGTGTTAAATTAGATATTTTAAAAAAAGAAAAAAAAGAGAAAAATAAATTAAATGTACAAGAATCCTCTGGAGGAATCATTTCTTTCTAAGTTGTGAGCTGAAGTGTGAAGGAAAAGCCTCAAGCAGCAGCAAACATTTTATTGTCAAGAAGAAGAACCCTTCAGTAAACAAACAGTTTACAGTGTAAACAAACAAACACAAGCTCCGCCCCTACAAACAAACAAATAATTTAAAACATAAAAGTTCAACCTGCTCAGGTTAAAGCAGCTGGTTCTCAGGTCAGATCTATTTACAGSTTTAAAAGAAGTCAAATCGTTGTTTGTTTCTTAGATTCAATCAGTTCTGGTGCAACAACGTGTGAAACTGACGTCCTAACGTGGAAAACAAACGTGTTCTGGTTCTGTCCCTCAGTCCAGCTCTTTGTTCTGGTTCTGTCCCTCAGTCCAGCTCTTTGTTCTGGTTCTAGGTTTTGTACACCTGAGGGTTTCCTCCGGCGGCGGTGGGAGGCCCCGCCCCACTCGCCCCGGCCTGGACGTCGACGAAGCCCATCCTCTGCCTCCTCTTCCTCTGCTCCGTCATCTGAACACAGAGATTATCAGATTATCAGATTATCACGACTTCAGGTTAGACTCATTTAACACCATAATGTTTGGAGGACACATTATGAACAGTAAACATCTRACCTGTTGTAGGTGACTCGTCAMTCTGACTAACAGTCTTATAACAACTAATCTTTAAAATTTATAACTGTTTTCACTTTACAGGTGCAAAGAGTTAAAGGTTACAGCTGTGTTACCATGGTAACAGGGGTGTAACGATACATAAAACTCTCGAGACAAGACGAAATTTTAATATTAGTTTTAAGAAAACGTCAAAGATAAATTTTATMCTGCAAAAAGGCTTTTATTCTGTGTTTTAACAGGTTTTATTACAAACTAACTCTTCCTTTTTCTGATTTCTTGTACCTCCTCAGGTCAGGGGTTTGACCTGTTTGACCTTGAGGCCCAGTTTGTTGAACATAAAGTGACACGAGGCCCAGTCAGACATTACCAGTGTATGGATCAAAATGACAATTACTCTAAATCTTGGTTTAATTTGTATTTTATTTACATTTTAATTAAATTAAATACACTTACAGTATCCACAAGTTTCTGGAAACGAGGCTGCCATGACAGACACTAGCCCCGCCCACAGCCCTAACAACTATTCTGCTCAAGTTAGGGTACTCATAAAGGACTGTTGAAAAAGTGATTTTTTTAAAGATTGGGCCTTAAATAACTTTTGAGGGGTTCACTCAGGGTTGTTTTTATGATTGGGCCCGTTCTTAGAACCGTGCTTTAACTTCGGCCGTCCAACATCAGATAAAAACATGAGATTCACGCAGAACTTTCCACAACCTGAACACAAAGCTTTAAAAACCACCAGGAGAKGTTGTTAGATTTGTCACCAGAGGGCTCTAAACAGTCAACAGATCTGGTGACAAAGTCTCTACGTTGGCAACACTGTCAGTGAGACAACAGTTACCTCAACCAGAGATATCGAGGGAGTTTAATGTCGCGAGATTTCGTAGGAGATCTGGTTACACCCCTACATGGTACCATGTCCTGTCTGGTGACGAGGCTGCGAGCCCAGGCCCGGTTCTGTTGGGTTTTACCTGCTCTTTGAGCTCGTTGAGCTGCGCGGTCAGAGTGGTCACCACGTTCATGGTGCTGGACAGTTTGTCCTGCAGCATCCTCATCTCGTTCTGCTCCCCGTCCCCGTCGCTCACKACCAGAGACATGGCCTGCATCCTCGGGAACCAGTCCAGGTTGTTGTTCTGGGCCAGAACACAACCGTTGGGACATTTGGACTCGCGTCGCCTTGAAAGTCTGGAGGGTTTCCTACCTTGATCATGTGGGCCACGTAGCTCTCCGGTCCCGTGTAGTCCGTCTTGTTCTTCTCGCGGACCAGGACGATGAAGTACAGGTAGTTCCAGATGTTGTGCTCCAGTTTGATGTGCTCCTCGAARGACACCGTCTTGTTGTCGAACTTATCTCGCTCCAGACCTGCAGAGAGCCCACGACCCGACGGGTTCTGAGAACAGAGACCAGGACCAGGTCCAGGTCCCGGTCCGTGGTGAGGCGAGTTCTACTCACAGCAGATGAAACACGTGGTCTTCAGGACCTCCTCCTTCTTCTGCTTCTCGCTCCTCAGGTCGGCGAACGTGTCGATGATGACGCCGAAGATCAGGTTGAGGACGATGATGATGACGACGAAGTAGAAGAGCAGGTCGTAGACCACCCGGGCGGGAAACAGCGGCTCCTGCACACAGGTCCAGTTTTTATCAGCCAGCTTTAGGACTGTTCAGCTCCGGGAGTTCACAGCTCGTTCATCTTACGTTCTTAGACGGTTTCCGGAGAACGTCTCCGACTCCGCCTCCGTTCCTCAGTCCGTGGTTCATCACCGTGACGATGCACATGAGCAGGGTGTCACATGCTCGCTCCACGTTTGGCTCGTCTGAAATAAAACCCTGACTTTACATTGTTGGAGATGTTCTTCACATGAAGGTTCATCCTGTTTACCTCTCTGCTACGGTGCAGCATGAGGGCCAAAATAAAGACTGGACAGGAGGCTATAGTATCTGTTCCTAACCAGCTGTTGATCTGATTAATGACAGGTCACTAATCACAAACCTGTCTGATGCTAACGCCAGCTTATCCATGCTAGTTATTAGCCTCTCCAATGCTAATGCAGGCTTATCCATGCTAGTTACTAGCCTCTCCAATGCTAATGCAGGCTTATCCATGCTAGTTACTAGCCTCTCCAATGCTAATGTGGGATTATCCATGCTAGTTGCTAGCCTCTCTAATGCTAATGCAGGCTTATCCATGCTAGCCTCTCCAATGCTAATGTGGGATTATCCATGCTAGTTGCTAGCCTCTCCAATGCTAATTTGGGATTATCCATGCTAGTTGCTAGCCTCTCCAATGCTAATGCAGGCTTATCCATGCTAGCCTCTCCAATGCTAATGCAGGTTTGTCCATGCTAGCCTCTCCAGTGCTAATGTGAGATTATCCATGCTAGTTGCTAGACTCTCCAATGCTAACGTGGGCTTTTCCATGCTAGTTGCTAGCCTCTCCAATGCTAATGCAGGCTTGTCCATGCTAGCCTCTCCAATGCTAATGCAGGCTTATTCATGCTAGCCTCTCCAATGCTAATGTGGGATTATCCATGCTAGTTGCTAGCCTCTCCAATGCTAATGCAGGCTTGTCCATGCTAGCCTCTCCAATGCTAATGCAGGCTTATTCATGCTAGCCTCTCCAATGCTAATGCAGGCTTATTCATGCTTGTCGCTAACCTCTCCAATGCTAATGCAGGCTTCTCCATGCTAGTCGCTAGCCTCTCTGACGTTAACACAAATGAATAGTTTCCTTCTCAAGCTCCAGCCTCTCAGTTAGCGGGGAAGCTGCTCTGTTAGCGGTGTCGACCTATCATTAATCAGATCAGTAGCTAGTTTGGAACAGATATAGCCTCCTGCTACAAGGATGTAGAACCTCTGCTGGAACAATAGTCTTAATTTTGGCCCTCAGACCTTGCTACYCTCTGCAGCTCCTACCTTCCTCCTCAGTGATGGTTTTGAAGTCTATCTCTGAGGTGCAGTTAACGCCGTCTGAGGAGCAGGACTTCAGGAAGTCCTGAGAGGCCTCGCTCTGCTCAGGAGCTGCAAACACAGATCATCGTCATCATCATCATCAGACTCTGGAAAACAAGACGTTTCTGCCCACAGGTGAAGAACTGACCTGCAGGGATSTGCACCAGGGGATCCACCTCCATGATGAAGTCCTCTTTCAGAAACAGGAAGCCCACGATGGAGAAGAGGTAGACGAGGATGAGGGCGAGCAGCGCCGTCAGCAGGATGGAGCGCCCGTTACGAGTCACGCTCTTTATCACGTTGAACAGAGTCTCCTCTCTGTAGATCAGGTCGAAGAGCTGCAGGAACAACAAAGACGTCAGAGGTTCTCCTCGGACCAGAACCCTGTGAACACGAAGGACCTCTGCAGGTGGTACCAGGATGCTGTAGAAGAGCTCGTGGACGAAGAGTCCCAGCGTGGAGGTGAGAACGTAGGCCAGGTGGTACAGGAACTCCACGTCCATCACCATGGCCTTGTAGCCCATGATGAAGGTCCCATTGTTCCCCACAAAGCTCACCACAAACACCACCTTATTGATCAGCTGCAGACACAAACACCCTCCATCAGATGAACCACAGACTGGATCCAGATCAACACCACACAACCAGGACCACCGGCTGGGAAAGATCCAGACCTCTCAACAGAACCCTCCTGAGGTTTCTTACGTTCAACGAGCCCAGCAGGATGAGCGTGTTGCCGATGCCCAGGTGGTAGATGGACCTGATGATCAGAGCGATGGTCAGCGGCTGCAGGCCATACTGCTGCGAGAACAGACCCAGAACCGAGAGTCCGGTCAGGATCCAGAAAATCATCAACAGCATGGAGTCATCGATGGCTCCTGCAGAGGAGGATAGGGTCAGGATGAGACGAGGACATCAGTGACAGCCACATGCTAACGCTAACACAGGGTCAGGATGAGACGAGGAAATCAGTGACAGTTAGCCATATGCTAATGCTAACACAGGGTCAGGATGAGACGAGGACATCAGTGACAGCCATATGCTAATGCTAACACAGGGTCAGGATGAGACGAGGAAATCAGTGACAGTTAGCCATATGCTAATGCTAACACAGGGTCAGGCTGAGACAAAGAAATCAGTGATAGTTAGCCACATGCTAATGCTAACACAGGGTCAGGATGAGACGAGGACATCAGTGACAGTTAGCCACATGCTAACGCTAACACAGGGTAAGGATGTGACGAGGAAATCAGTGACAGTTAGCCACATGCTAATGCTAACACAGGGTCAGGATGAGATGAGGAAATCAGTGACAGTTAGCCACATGCTAATGCTAACACAGGGTCAGGATGAGATGAGGAAATCAGTGACAGTTAGCCACATGCTAACGCTAACACAGGGTCAGGATGAGACGAGGAAATCAGTGACAGTTAGCCACATGCTAATGCTAACACACATAACTATAACGTTGCTAAAGAATATTGATCTAATTGATCAGAAGGTGGTCCAGAACATCTGAGGACAGGGAACTTTCTGTGCTCAGGATGAAATCCTCAACAGAACCGGTCTCCTTTCAGTACCTTGACCCGAGTTGTAGGGGTAGAAGAAGGCGATGATGAGGTTGATGAAGAGGGCGAGCTTGAAGGAGATGGTTCCCCACAGACTCATCCGTCTGGAGAACCAGTACAGAACCGGCATACCTAAAAAAACAGAACATGACGGGTTTCAAAACCCAGCAGAACCTCAGGGCAGAGCAGAACCGTGACAAGCTGCCTCCTGTTCCTCACTCCTCAGCTTCTTCTGCCACTCCATCTCTCCATGAAGGAAGGAGGTCTGATCGAAGAAGTGCGTGACCTTTGACCCCTGCTCGTCCTGCTCCGTGGTGTTGAAGACCCTGAACTTCGACTCCTCGGTCAGAAACTCACAGATGGGATGGACCGGGAARACGATCTGCTCCATGCTGCGGTCCTCACGCACGATCTGAGAGCAGTGATCAGAGTGTTACAAGACAGGATGAAACAAGGCTGGACTGGTTTACACCGGTTTATACTAGTTTAAACTGGTTTACACTGGCTTACACTGGTTTAAAGTGATTTAAACAGGTTTACACTGGTTTATACTAGTTTAAACTGGTTTACACTGGTTTAAAGTGATTTAAATGGTTTACACTAGTTTACACTGGTTTACACTGGTTTACACCGGTTTATACTAGTTTAAACTGGTTTATTACACTGGTTTAAAGTGATTTCAACAGGCTTACACTGGTTTATACTAGTTTACACTGGTTTGTACTGGTTTACACTGTTTTAAAGAGATTTAAATTGGTCAGTACTGGTTTACATTGATTTATACTGGTTTACACTGTTTTTTTTTACACGTTTATTTTATTTTATTTTTATTGGAAAAGTACTTGAACAGTGAGAAACATGTATTTTGTACATAATTTCTATTTTCTTTTGAACAATATCAACAATAAAAGTCAGATCTGATGGGTTTCACATATGCAGTCCATTTACTCCAGATTGAATAAAATTTATCTATTTGCACTTTGAGTGAGTAGGACAGTTTTTCCWTTAAGAATATATCATGTACTGTGTCAATCCAATCATCAATGGATGGTGGCTCAGTTTGAAACCATTTTTTAAAAACCTGCATCATTTTTATTGGGTACAAAATCTGAGTCAAAAGCACAGCATCTCATAATTTTTGTAGCCTCACCTAATTTGCATATCCTAATTGCATCTTGCCATGACTTTTGTAGTACATCTAGCATTGGGTYATCTGAGATGGTCAGTTGTGATTGTAATTTTTTATCTGAAAGTATGGCTTTTATTGGAATGTCTTTTATACTTATGCCTTCCATATCTMTCCATCCTGCTGAATAGCTTGGTGAACATAGGCKTGCTAGTGGTCTAAGCTGAGCTGCTAGGTAATAATCCRGAATGCAGGGGAGGCCCATTCCTCCCTTTTCCTTACTTAGCTGCAGAGTTTTGTACCTAAATCTGGGTTTTTTCCCTTGCCATAAAAACCTACATATTAATCTATCCCAATCTGAAAAATATTTCTGAGGTACTTCTACTGGAAGACGTTGGAAAAACTATAATAAACATGTGAGAATGTTGATTTTAATGGACATAATTCTGGAACTAAGGGATAAAAAAGGTATGACACTCCATCTCTGTATGTCTGCTGTTATTCTCGTGTTAAGAGGACAGTAATTGTGGTCAAATAATTTTACTAAATTCTTTGGTATGTTAATTCCAAGATATTTAATGTATTCTACATCCCAAATCCATTTGTAGACTGTCCTGATCTGTGCTGGGGGATTGTAGTTAATTGATAAAACCTGGGTTTTTTATATTGATTTTATAGCCTGAAAGTGCACCGAATTGCCTCAACATTTCCATTAATTTTGGTAGTGTTTGTGTGGGCTGGGTTAATATTGTGAGTAAATCATCTGCAAACAGAGCCAACTTCTGTTCCCCTGAGGGAGTTATGACACCTTTAATGACTGCATTGTCTCGTTTCATCTGACTTAGGGCTTCTATGAATACACAAACAGGAGTGGTGACAAACAGCACACCTGTCTTGTACCTCTTTTCAATTGAAATGGTTTAGTAAGYTCACCGTTGATTTTAATTCTGGCTGTAGATCTGTCATAAAGTGCTGCAATCATTTCAATCATGTTGGTCTGAAAGCCAAATTTTGCTAAAACTTTGAACAGGAGAGACCATCTTACACAGTCAAATGCTTTTTCAGCATCTAGGCTGACTAAATGTAATTCCAGTTTTTCTCTTGTGGCTTGGTTCACAACATGGAGTATCCTCCTGGTATCATCCTGGGCCTGTCTTTGTTTTATAAATCCTGACTGGTCTTTGTGGATTAGTCCTGGTAAAATGATTTCTAATCTTTTAGATAAGATGCTTGTGAACAGTTTATAATCAATATTTAATATACTGACTGGACGATAGTTTGCACAATCTGTTCGGTCTTTACCATCCTTACTTACACTAATTTACACTGGCTTACACTGGTTGAAAGTGATTCAAACTGATTTACACTGGGTTATACTGATTTAAACCAGTTTAAACTGGTTTACACTAGCTTACACTGGTTTATACTGTTTTAAAGGGATTTAAATTGGTCTAAACTGGTTTAAACTGATTTAAAGTAATTTTAACTGGATTACACAGATTTAAACCAATTTAAAGTGGCTTACACTTGTTTACACTGGTTTACACTGTTTTAAACTAGTTTACACTGGTATAAACTGGCTTAATCTAGTTTACACTATTTTTACACTGGTTTAAACTGGTTTACATTATTTTTCCACTGGTTTAAACTAGTTTACACTATTTTTCCACTGGTTTAAACTGGTTTACATTATTTTTCCACTGGTTTAAACTGGTTTACATTATTTTTCCACTGGTTTAAACTGGTTTACATTATTTTTCCACTGGTTTAAACTAGTTTACACTATTTTTCCACTGGTTTAAACTAGTTTACACTATTTTTACACTGGTTTAAACTGGTTTACACTAGTTTACACTGGTATAAACTGGCTTACTCTAGTTTACACTATTTTCCAAGGGGTTTAAACGATTTAACACTATTTTACACTAGTTTAAACTGGTTTACACTATTTTAAACTGGTGTAGACTGGTTTACACTGGTTTAAACTGGTTTATACTATTTTTTACACCGGTTTAAACTGTTTTACACTGTTTTAAACTGGTTTACACTGGTTTACAATGGCTTACCCTAGTTTACACTGGTTTAAACTGGTTTACAGTGTTTTAAACTGGTTTACACTGGTTTACAATGGCTTACCCTAGTTTACACTATTTTAAACTGGTGTAGACTGGTTTACACTGGTTTAAACTGGTTTATACTATTTTTTACACCGGTTTAAACTGTTTTACACTGTTTTAAACTGGTTTACACTGGTTTACAATGGCTTACCCTAGTTTACACTGGTTTAAACTGGTTTACAGTGTTTTAAACTGGTTTACACTGGTTTACAATGGCTTACCCTAGTTTACACTATTTTAAACTGGTGTAGACTGGTTTACACTGGTTTAAACTGGTGTAGACTGGTTTACACTGTTTTAAACTGGTTTACACTAGTTTAAACCAGTCTAATATAAGTTAAGACATTTAACAGAAGGAACCTTCACTTCCTGTTTAGCCTAGCGGCAGAACGTTTCCTTCTTTAAACTCTGTAAATGTTTTTATGGTCCGATACTGAAACTCTGCTGGTGTAAAGGACGGTTCTGAACAGAGACGGGTCGGTGGTGTTACAGAACCTCGATCTGGGCCGTGAGCTGGCTGTAGTACTCCAGAGGGTCCTGCTCCACCACCTCAGCTGGAACCGAGGACTTCAACATCTGGGACAGAGGGCGGTTGTTCAGGTTCAGCTGCAGACACACAAACACAACAGTGATGGCGTTGTTGGACAATTGTAGAACCAGAACCAGAACCTGGATCTCAAGGTGGAGATTACCATGGAGGAGATGCCCTCGTCTCCTTCCTGGTTCTTCTTGAGAGGCTTCAGGAGGTTCTGGAGGACTTTGTTGTGTCTCGCCAGCTGCAAAACAAACAAGATTCAGTTCCTGTGGAACAGAACCATCTCTGATCCGGTCTCAGGAGACCAGAACCGCCAGGCTGGGTCACCTGCTGAGCCAGGATGTAGATGTTGTGTCCCACTTCCCGAGGAGACACCTCCACCTCCACGTCCTCGCACTCACTCTCCTGATGGTAGGCCTTCTTTATCACCTCCACCTGCACACACACACACACACACACACACACACACACACACTCAC